TCGGGGAGACAGCGTCAGACCTGTTTTCCACCTGAGGATGGCTGCTTGCGTTGTGGCCGAAACGTCGTGAGAATTATTTTATTATGTTTTCTTTTTATTTTATTATTACCCTTCTACGTGACTTTACCGAAAGAACCAAGAAGATGATTCAGCTTTTTTTACAACTTGATTAATTGGTACGATTTGGGGCCGCGAATTAAAAATTTCGATTTTTTTTTTATGCCGCCAGTGGCAGCGGATGTCGTGGGAACTCACAAGAACTCGTTACATGCCACTTACATGCACGAGCTGATGTATCGTTTGACGGTTCTGTGCACTCTTAAACACTTACTAGAAAGGCACTCCAGAAAAAAATCCCCTGTGGGATCCCTTTGAGCCTTTTAGATTTTTTTGGCTCAAATCCATTTAATCTCAGGTCTCGCTGGTATGAAAGTGGAACACTGAAGGAAAACCCACAGTCATGTCTCAAGTCAACTGCTGTACGATTTTGACACCGATGCAATGAGTGATGGACATCACGTGCTGTTTTGGCATTATAACTTTTTGAGCACATTCTTTGACATCGTTGTAAATAAATGCTTAACTTTGTGAAGTTAAACATTTTCCTTTTATCATTGTGGTTGTGGATAGACTATGGAAATGTTGTTCTACGACTTGTGATTAATTTGTTTTTTTTCTTTTTCAGATGCTGTACCCATCACGAATCTAATTGTATGCGTTGCAAAGTTTAAATAAATAACAACTGTGTTGGGCTCTTTGCGTCTCGCCATTCTTTTTGTCATCCGTGAAAACGCTCTTTTGACAATTTGTTATTCAACGTGCTTTTCTACCATCGGTTAAATACAGACAAACTTACACAAGTCATCATGCGCAGTTTCTACCCAAAACTGCTGTCCCGGGTGTTTTTAAACATGTAAAAAATATATCTTCATGGTTCTTTCGGTAAAGTCACGTAGAAGGGAAATAATAAAATAATAAAAATTAAAGATAATAAAATAATTCTCACGACGTTTCGGCCACAATGCAAGCAGCCGTCCTCAGGTGAAGAACAGGTCTGTCGGAAAGACAGCGTCTGAATGGACACCACCAGGCTTGGCAGCGTATATTTAAGCTGGATGTCCATTCAGACGCTGTCTTCCCGACAGACCTGTTCTTCACCTGAGGATGGCTGCTTGCGTTGTGGCCGAAACGTCTTGAGAATTATTTTATTATGTTTTATTATTTCCCTTCTACGTGACTTTACCGAAAGAACCAAGAAGTTGAATCCCTGCAGTCACGAAAGCTTTAAATCGAAAAGTAAAAAATATAGTCATACACCGGGTGTGTGGCAGTTCAATCCAGAGTGGGTGAGTGGACGTGTTGTTGTTGTACTTCTTACGAACGTACTTTTCGTGGTGTCTCACCATTAACTCAACGTCACACCATGGGTGATTGCTTCTTGTCACTACATACTCCAGTCTGTTTTGCCTCTATCCTCTTAACACAAGTTTCAAGCTCTGCCTACACTGGCTAACAATGCTGCATTTTAAGTTTGTTCCATTTTCAGCGATAACATTTATATTTGTGTTGTCATTTATCCAGCGGCCACTGAGATGCGCGATCCAGAGCTCGCCAGTGCAATTTGATATCCTGACAAGGCAGTTGAAACAATAACACTGGTCAACAAAAAAAAGCATTTTTTTCTGGCCTGGACTTTTGCAGCTGTTTTAGACTAATTTCAGGGTGCTGATTCCAAATCTGATCTCAGATTTGCTCCATCACATCTCATTTTATGCTATTGGCATACCCTATTTTCATTGATTTTACCCGACATTAACAGTGACTGCTTTAGTGTTAAAATACGGTGCTGTATTTTTAGGATAGTGTGTTTATAATATAATTTTATGTAGATATCCACATTTATTTAATATTTTTCTTCTGCAGTTTTTATTGAAAATGCAATATTTGATATCAAAAACCTGATGCGATAGACAAAAACTGATGCCAGATTTGGATCAGCACCCCGAAATTACCATACAACCGTTGGAATACCTTGTGCCAGAAAAAGTGTTGACCAGTGTTGTGTTTTTGTTCCTCTACCCACCATTATGAATGGGTACAACACTTGATAAGGGGGAGGGTTACTGGTTGAGTGGGGCACTCTTCCACTTCTGTTAGGACGTCTGGCTAAGTTGGAATGGCATACGCACATTCTCCCAAGCTCTCTCCAGTAGATGCCCCTTTTCAGCAGTGACTTGTAAGCAACTTCATTGCTACATTTTACATGACGTGCCAAAAGGAAGGGCACCTATTTTCCAGCGGATTATTGTTTGTAAATTCTAGATTTGAAGTTTTCGTGACTGCAAGGATCCATACTCTTTGGTTCTTTCGGTAAAGTCACGTAGGTGGAAAGAGTAAAATAAAGTGAAAATATATTTAGTTTTCACTTTTTTATAAATTAATTTAGTTTTCATTTTATTTTACTGTTCTTTTCACCTACGTGACTTTACCGAAAGAAACGAATATTGTTTGTAAGCCTCGAATAAAAGTACATTTGGATTTGTAGACTCATCAGTGGAACCATGACGGGATTATATAAAAGCTTTCGCCACGTGAAATAAAAATTAGTCCATCTACCCATTGGGCTGCTGAGCTAATGTTCCAGCAGCAAAATGACCCAGTGATTATGACATTCAGAGCCTTAGCAGTTTGGCCTGGGAAATGCTGCTGGGTTTCGAGCCATCAACACGAGCACTGCATTACAGTAACATTGTACAGATGCATTATTCACAGTCGTGGGTCAAGAGGGCCCGTATGGAGGACAAAAGGAGAAGGAGGAAGAACCGTGATCCCTCAGCACCCATCCCAGATGAGACCTTCACTTGCAGCTGTTGTGGCAGGACCTGCCTGTCCCGCATAGGCCTCTTCAGCCACCAGCGTGCCTGCAGAAGACGTGGATGTCCTTCCTAGATCTTCGTTCGCGAAGCCAAGCCATGATGATGGTGATGATGGTGATGGGGGTCAAGAGGAAGTCACAAAGGTTTGGCTTCGTCAAATGAATGTCAAGTTCTCGTCCTGTACACAAGTTAGGCTCCAGTGTCTTACATCTGACTACGTGTACGGTGTGAAAGAAGATCAAATGTACGCTTGGCTAAGCCGCCGTCGCGGAAAGTCCGGTGCATTCCCTACTGCAAAAAAACCTCGCGGTATTTACGCGAATGTGTCGTAGCAAGAGCTTCCCCAATGTGGAAATGAAAATACAGCATTACTAACATGCGTGGACGTTGGCCATTGTCACGCAACGTGCAAATCAGATGCTTTACAAACACCCTTGTGTCACCATAACTTCCCAAACGGGTTTTCTGTTTTTTTTTCTACAAGCTCGGGGCAAATGCATTATTTTGCGTGCAATTATGACTTCGTTCTGAAATTCGGACACCCCCCCCCCACTCTCGAGTTCTCAGGACATGCTTCTTTACATTGAGGCCAGGACACGCCACACTGCCACCATGCCTGTGATCTAGGATTTCCAGATTTGTTTGTTTACTAAGCCCAACCCGGACATATCCATTGGTCAGCCTAACACGGTGGTGACCTGGCCTAAGCGGTTGCGTGTCCGAAGTTCGCTGTTCGATTCCAGCAGCCCCCATACATGGTTATTTCTGCGGCCCTTAATAAAACAATCGGAACAGCAATATTTATTTCGACTGGAGGAATCCGTTGAGCTATAAAGCTATTTTCCACATGGCCAGTCGGGGCAAGGGGTCAGAACGTTCCAACAATAATACACCGTCTGAATTAAATATTGCCAAATTTGCAAATTAATTTGGAGCATATAAAGCAACAACCACCGACTTACTGGCAGACGAATGGAAACGAGACTGTCCTGGTTTCTTGGGTTCTCATCTCGTGAAACAATAAAACATTAATATGATGCAAAATGCTGTAGTAACGTTAACGATACCAGTGCCATATGTCGATACAAATCGCTTCCTGCCACTTGAATACCCATGCCAATTCCCGGACTGTTCAGCTTAATCCTGGACACGTGGCAACCCTGCTACGGTATCATAGAGGCAACATATAAGTAAAACACATTCCTGCGGAGGGAGCTGGTAGGAACGTTGGGTTGCTCGGTCAATGGCCACGGTCAACGGCGGCGTGGTGTATTCCGCAAATATGGCCGACTGTGAGGGCGGGCACAAGCCGGCGTGAGTAGGTTAAACGTTGAGTTTTATAAGGGTACCACGGGGTGACCAGCCCCTCCCCACCCAGCCCCACCACTCCAATTTTTGGATGCACGACGGACGGACACAATAATCCCCTGTAGGCTGGTGGAACCAGGTGGTTCCTACCAGTATAAGCTATCCATGTAATGTTCTGATACGGTTCGTTCTGACCAAAAGCATTGTCCCGAGAGCGATCTGCAATCGGTCTCGAGTTCGCTAAAGCAGATGCTGCTGGATTAGTGTGGTTTGAAAGGCGAGGGCTGGGTTGACCATACTTCACCACGCCGGTTGGTGACCTCGGCTGCCCTGATTCGTTGAGATATCACTTGGCATTAGCTGGGAATCAAACTCTGGACGCTCTGTCCGTGTAACACGTTGGTTTTCGCAACCAAAATCCATCCAATTTTTTGTTTGTTTACGTGACAAACCTTACGAATCGTCAGTGTCGGGTGGTGGTGGGTTTAACGACACATTTATCTTTATAATGGATCAGCAGGCGATATCGCTGGAGTGCAGTGCTAACCATTGACGCCACCACCTCACCCTGATGGGGGGAAGTTATATTTTTCCCCCCCTCGTACATTTGAATTGCACGCAAATGAATCGTCGAGTCGATCGGACGGCCTGGTAAATCCCCCACGGCCTGGGGCTGTCGTGGTGACTGACGTTTCGCGACTGTCATCTTTCTGTTGTCTTGAGTCACAGAGGAAGTCGAGTAATTCGTAGACTGTGTGGCGCGCGTGTGTATATAAGGCACCCGATGTGCAGTCCTACGTTGTGTCGTCCGCGCCGAGTTGAACAAACAAGGGGTGAGCAGCGGCTCGCGGCCGAGGAAGTGAAACTCGTGCTCGTCGACACGAGAGATTACGAGCGGTCCGTGCAAGCTGTTCGTAGTTAGTTTAAGTTCAAGTTAATTGATTAGGTATAGCCCTGTGAGCCATTCGGCTCTTGAATCGGTCACAGCGCACGTGGCAGACGCGTTCGCGATAGGACCGCTTCAAGCGCGCCGTCGATATTTTGTGGTCCCATCCATCCATCATCATCGCCGTCGTTTCTTCACGCCACCGCTTTCCAGGTGAGTCGCCATGCGGCACCGCTGATGTATGAATGAGTCCTGGGAGGGGTGTGAATGAATGAGTCCTGGGGGAAAGGGGGTTTTAAATGGAGAAGTCCGGTGCGCGTGTCCGCGTGGGCTTCTTATTCTCGCCTATTGTGGTGGCATTGTGGTTCAAGAGTCTATGTTTGCTGCTGCTGCTGCTGCTGGGCAGGACGAGAGGGATTCAGGAGAGAGGTCGGTGTCGTTTTGCTCTTCCTCTGTTGAAAGAGTGCAGACTACAGTCGATGTCATCTTGAACTTCGTTCGCACCGCACGTAGCCAACCGCGGGTCACGATTCGGTGCATGGTTTGCGTTGTGTGTCCACAACCCCATGAACTTTACGTACTGCGTGGTCTGTCTTTAATGGGTTTCTATGAGCAGCTCGGTATCTCTACGGGTCTCTATGCAACTGTCTTCTTGCGTACGGCAATCCTGTTTACTCACGAGATGAATTGCCAATGTGGAGGGCTGCTGCTGCTGCTGCTGGTCAGGACAAGATGGCTTCAGCAGAGAGCGTCCCTCTCGTTTTGCTCTTACGTTTGCGGAGCGCAGACGACACCGTGAAATGTGGAGCGGTGGCGCGGCGGTTAGCGCGCTGCGGCTACGAACCCTGGCCGTCCCGAGTTCTATCCCCGCTCACGAGCTCGCACACGTGAGCGGGTGATATCCGAACTGGTTCCTGGACCCTCGGGCTCACAGCAACCCGCGCACTGACCAGCTCGGTCGAACGCGCGCAACAATGGGAGGCCTTAGTCCAGCAGTGACCTTGTCGCATGAACAATTCGTTTTTGTTCAATGTTGAGGCCACACCACGTGGCAATGATTGACTCACGTGTTGAGGTTTCGTTCATTTTGAGCACCGCTAACAACGCAGCAGCAGCGTCCACCACGGGTCGGAAACCCACACCCTGTCAACCCCACACTGCACCAGATTGAATTGAATTAAATGATGATGTCACCCTGATGCTACTCTATTTAAGACCGGAAGCAACAGAGAGCTTCACAATTCTTGCCCGATGAAGCTGATTGTAATTATCAGCGAAACGTCGTACTACTCAAATTTTAAAATGCTGTTGATTCTCTCTTCAGCACACCGGTGGGCTAAAGAAGTCAATTAATTTGTCCTTTGAAAACGTGACACATTTTTTACTGTTTGGCCGTGTCGGGTGGTGGAGGGTTACGGCACATTTATAAATAACGCGATCTGACCCAAAAACCTATATTATGAACCCCACAAGGTTTAACCCCGTATTCAGGTCCATACGGCGCACAGCCGTTTCAATACGCGATAACTGAAGACGGGGAATCTCTCACTCGGAGGACGCCTTCACAGCCACCCCGAGACCTCCCCGGGGCACAAATCGCGACTGTGGCGTTGCAGCAGCGGTTTCTCACGTGAACAACTTAAAATGTTATCTTCATTAGGCAATTCACGTTGAAATAATTTTTTTTTTTATTTAAAAACAACAAAAAATTTGTAGCAAAGTTTTTTTTTTTAGAAAAAACACATTCCTGCGGAGGGAGCTGGTAGGAACGTTGGGTTGCTCGGTCAATGGCCTGCAGGGTCAACGGCGGCGTGGTGTATTCCGCAAATATGCCCGACTGTGAGGGCGGGCACAAGCCGGCGTGAGTAGGTTAAACGTTGAGTTTTATAAGGGCACCACGGGGTGACCAGCCCCTCCCCACCCAGCCCCACCCCCCACCCAGCCTCACCCTCCCCTCCCCACCCAGCCCCTCCCCACCCTCCCCACCCAGCCCCTCCCCACCCTCCCCTCTCCACCCAGCCCCACCCCTCCCAATTTTGGATGCACGACGGACGGACGGACACAATAATCCCCTGTGGGCTGGTGTAACCAGGAGGTTCCTACCAGTATTATTACTCATCTCCATTTGCTTGGTGGGGCAGCGCTCAAATGGCCTCGAGTGGAAGAACCGAGCCTATGCTGATGACAACCACAGCTGACTTTTAAACAAAATAAGTCGTAATTACCTCCGTGGTGTGCCGAACTAGTAACTCATTGGCGCGTTTTGTTTACGTGACAAAACTTTACTGATTGGCTGTGTGTCGGGTGGTGGCGGGTTTAACGACACATTTATATTTACGAGATCTAACCCAAAAAAAACACCTCTATGATGGATATTGTTCGCGATAGCCTCCTACGTGTTAAACGGAACAAACTGCGTCTATTTAGTATTTTCTCCATTATATTATTCTTAAACAATACCGTTTGTATACTTTACATTGCGGACTCCATTTCCTGTCATATTTCATCACTTTATCTTTGCGTAAAATAATGTTTAAGATTTAAGTTAAAATACATTTGGTAATAAAAAAATGCGTTTCAATGCACGCACTTTTACTTGCACTAAAAAGTAGAAATAATGATTTTGACCCTAGAATTAATACAATTTGATGTGCTGAATAAAATTCGGTGGTTTCCTTTCGATGTTTATAATTTTCTCTAAAATCAATTGCATCAAAATTATTTTGACCCCAAAAATAATGAAGTTTAATTTGTCAAACACTTTCAATTAATCTTGTAATTTTATTTATTAATTTACAGTTTAAGTGTTTTACACAATTTAATTTTAATCTTGTAAAAATAATCTGTACATATTCCTTCGACGATCTCAAGGTATCCTGTCCTTGAAAAGGGATTCTGCTTGGTGTTTAAACGTCTTAACACACCTCTTGTATTGCACAAATGGCAACACCTATTGTAATATTTTGATACTGGCAAGAAAGCTCCCACCATATCGATGTCCACTTTCGCGGACAGCAGAGGGTGCAATCCGCCATCTGCTTCTGGGGCAAAGTTGCCGGCAACCAGGAAACAAGAATCCAGCCAATTGGCTACATTGCTCGCAATGAGGAAGCTTTTGGAGGTAAGTACAAGCTGGATGTGCGTCCGTGTATTCATTTATTTGACACGAGGAACAGAACAATGTAAGCCCAGACCCCCGGCTGTTTCACAGAAGCCAGGAACATTCCAATCGATTTTCGTTAAACCAACTCAAAGACAGCGCCAGGTTGTCGCTGCTGTGTGTGTACGTACTGCATGTTGAACTTCTTTCGCGCCGTACGTAAGTCAACGGCGCTCGTTGGAGGCACATGCGGAGTCTCGTTTGTCGAGAGGGTCCTGGCGTCAACGACGTTACAATCGTCACCACGGCTTGTCCCGGGAGCTATCGGCCTGCCCCTAGCCCCACAGAGATCGCTGATGCTGTTGTTCTTCTTGGTTCTTTCGGTAAAGTCGTCACGTAGAAGGGAAGTAATAAAAGAATAAAAATTAAAACATAATGAGGACGGCTGCTTGCGTTGTGGCCGAAACGTCGTGATAATTATTTTATTATGTTTAATTTGTATTATTTTATTACTTCCCTTCTACGTGACTTTACCGAAAGAACCAAGAAGATGAATCCCTGCAGTCACGAAAGCTTTAAATCGAAAGCTGCTGTTGTTGTTTTGGTGGCATAGAAATATTGTCGCCAAACCAAGGCTAGCCCGAAGCTTCTTCACCATATCCATCTAGCTCCCGAGTGCGAGCCATGGCACTGGATCATGTCCACAAGCAACCAGACGGCCAGCCACTAGTAAGTCAACTATGCCCCTACTCACCCTCACCAACTAGCACACCCACCACTAGTAAGTAGCCGACGTTAACCCTCACCAACTAGTCATGAATGGGGGCCCACCCGCTCTCTGTGACCCCACCTCTGACCTCACCTCTGACCTCACCTCTGACCCCACCTCTGACCCCACCTCTGACCCCGCCTCTGACCCCACGTGTGACGCGTTGCTGGGGCGCCCGTCGGCTCTGTTGCTCACAGTGGCCATGACCCACGACCCATCGTCATCATCAGTGGTCTGCAATTGATCTGCCTTGAGTGGTGGTAGTGGTGGAGATGTTGCGGTGGTGGCGGCAGCAGTGGTGATAACGGTGGTGGTGGCGGTGGTGGCGTTAGCGGCGGTAGTGGTGGTGGTGGCAGTGGCGGTGGTGGTGGCAGCGTTCGTAGTGGTGGTGGTGGCGGCGGTGGTAGTGGTGGTGGCGTTGGTGGTGACAGCGGTGTTGGCCGCGGGTGGTGGTGGTCACATTTTCGGATTGTCGAATTCGTTTCTGCCCAACCTCGCTATGTTTCCCTGGCAGAAGGTAACATCGCTCTCTCGGTGGCCGTCCCAGCGAGCGAGCGAGGGAGCGACCAAGGTGTGAGCCGAGTGATACATGTCTCGCCAGGTGCAATGGCGGGAGAAGCGCTGCTGCTCGACCTTCCCGGCCTGGGCCCGGCGTTCCAAGGTGACCCGGCCTCCTTCCTCCCGGCGGCCTCGCGTCTCTCCTCCGGCCGCGGCCGCCCCTCGCTCCTTCTCGTGCTCTGCTCTCCCAGCGACGACGACGCCGCCGTCACGGCCGCCTTCAAGGACCCGGCCTCAGCCGAGACCCCGGGCTTCGCGCCGCCGTGCCACGTCCTGCGCGACGACAGCGTCGCCCGCCTCTTCTACCGCGCCAAGGTACGCGTGGACGAGCTGGCGCTCGCCAGGGTGACCGTGCGCACGGGCGGGCACCGCCGCGCGGCGCTGCTGGGCGCCTACGCGGCCGAGATGTTCACGCCCGTGTACCACGTCGAGGTGGACGCCACGGGGTCCGGCGTGCCGAGCGAGCCGAGCCCCGCCGAGTTGGCGGCCGTGCGCGCCGACGTCGAGGCCTGCTTCAGAGGCCTGCCTTCTATTACGGGACCGGTGCGCGTTCTGCGTTCGCCACTCATCCCAGGTGAGCGTACCCCTCGTCCCAACGGAGTAGCCGTGCCCGCCACGGGCACCGCACCACAAGACCCACCCCTCCCCCCGTGTTCCATCACGGCGTGTTAAACACGAGCACCGGGGAGACAAAGACGGCCGGGCACACCGCTGGGCAACACCTTCCCATTCTAGCGGTTCACCGTTGCTCCACCGACAGCACTTGCCCCGGCAGCCCGTGTAGGCGACACAGGCGACACGGCCGTGCGTGTTTGCGCGTCGTCCGTGCGGCGTGCGTGGCGTGCAGGAGAGCGCTTCCTGCACGGGTTCAGCACGCGCCAGGGCGGCGTGTCTCACCTGCCCGGGATGAGCTCTCTGAACCTGTCGCGCTCCGTGCGACGGCGCGACCCGCCGGGCGCCACCGTCGAGAACAAGCGGCGCCTGGCGCAAGCCGCGGGATTCGCGCTCGACTCGCTCCGCACTCCCAAGGCACGGCGACGCGCACGGAACCCACACAGAGCCCACACGGAGCCCACACGAACCCCACACAGACCCACACGGACCCCACACAGACCCACACAGACCCACACAGACCACACACAGACCCACACAGACCCCACACAGACCCACACAGACCACACAGACCACAACGGCCCCCACCAGTACCACACACGGCCCCCACACAGGACCCAACACTGACCCCACACAGAACCCCACACACGCAGACCCACACAGACCCACACAGACCACACACGGCCCCCACACAGACCCCACACGGACCCCACACAGACCCCACACACAGACCCCACACAGCCCACGCACACAGACCCACACGGACCCCACACGGCCCACGCACACCGGTTTGACATTGACGTGTCGCGCCAGGTGTGCCACAGCACCGCCGTGTGGGTGCTGGGGACCGAGGAGCCGGCGGAGTACGACGGCCTCCTGACGGCGCGGCCCGGCGTCACGCTCGGCGCGCCGGGCGCCGACTGCATCCCGCTGCTGCTGGCCGACCCCGTCCGCGGGGCGTGCGGCGCCGTGCATTCGGGTACTCGCCACGCGGAGCCACGGCCACAACGCAACACGCAGCGCCGGACACAACGCACGCGCTGCCATGGCTCCAACATACGCAGATCATCCACAACACACGCACCGCCCAGACACAACACACCCTCGCGGCCACAACACACACCCTGCCTGGCCAGGACACGCACGCTGGTCATCCACAACACGCAGTCAGCCCGGCCACAACACATGCAGCCCTGCTACGACGCGACTAAGCCATCCACACCCTACACAGCTCATACACGCCACACACAGGGCGCGTGAGTGGTGTGTCCACGTGTGAATGCGTGTGTGCTCAATGGGAGTTTCCTCCTGCTCTGTTGCTGTCCCTGGCGTCTGGAATGCCGGTTCCAGCCAGTCCAGCTGTCCAATTCCTGCCCAAGTCGAGGCTCAAGACATGTCCGCCCATAACTGAGCCTTGTTATTAAAATGTCGGCGTACATGTACAGACTTTTGTCAGTCCACTGTTTGGTGAGGACCCGCTGATGCTGTGCAGGTCAAGGAGTTTAGTAAAACATTTTTTTTACAGTTTTGCAAACAGCACTTGCCCCAAAAGTGATGTGCGTGTGTGCTACACGGGGGGATCTTTGTCACCGTGCGTGCGTGCCGGCGTTGCGTCGTGCCCCGGCAGGCTGGCGCGGCACCGTGGGGGGCATCGGCGGCGTGGCGGTGCGCGCCATGGTGGCGGAGCTGGGCTGCTCGGCGCGGGACCTCAGGGTCGTGCTGGGCCCCTCCATCGGGCCCTGCTGCTTCCAGGTGGGCCCAGAGGTGGCCGCCCAGTTCTCGGCCATCGACGCGACGTGCCTGCACCACCTGGCGGACGGGACGACGAACGCCGACCTGCGCAAGGCCACCAGGTGCCGGGCGCACGGACGATGGTCGCGACGGGCCTCACACGGCAATCCCCTAGTTCGGTGTCCTTCATCGGCAAGGCCCGCAGGTCCGCCTTTAGTGCGATCGCTGACGTGTCAAGCCCAAATGTGCGGCGGTCCCTCGCGCTGACAGTGAAGGACACCGTCCGAGTTGGAAATAGATGCACACACGTGTAGCTCGACGTACTTTAAACTCACCTCTGTGGAGCTGCTTATTATGTTTAGTTTGTTGTCCTTTCCCCCCCCACCACCCCGCACCTCCAATTTGCGCGATTGGCTACGTGCGGCGCCGTAGATACGGTACACACAATACATGCAGCCGCGCTCCGCCGCGAGACGGATTGACGCGTATTTATTTCGACCGGGATGTTCAAAACGAGGTGCAGGGTTCAGCTTCGTTCGTGAAATGCGCGATGAAACTACCCGTCGGGTGAAGTGCCCTTCATTGTCGAGCGTGACGGTGACCAACAAGTGGGTGAACCTCATCGACAAACGCGACGGAGACCAACGAAACGGGTGCACCTCATCGTCCAGCGTGATGGGAGACCCTACGACGGACTCGACTTACCTGGACGCAGATGGCAGACTTGACCAAGTTGTCTTCTTGGTTCTTTCGGTAAAGTCACATGACTTTACCGAAAGAACCAAGAAGATGAATCCCTGCAGTCATGAAAGCTTTACATCGAAATTTGACCAAGTTGATTTGGTTACGAGAGGCCGTAGCGAGTGCACGGCCGTGGACCAACATTGGCTATTGGCCGCATATGTCCTGCTGGGCATCTGTGAGAAAAGAAGAGCTTTGGAGCTCAGCGGATTTCTCCAGTATAAATAAGTATGACATGATCATAAACAGGTTTACTGGGTTCACTGATGGGGGGGTCGCTCCTTGTGTGTATGTATGTCGAGCTTGATAATTGTTGTTTTACCCTTCTATCTGGCAAAAAACTGACACCTTTTTTTACAAGGAGTCATGTTTGCATAGACCACAATACCTGCAGTCATAATGCAAACAAAAAACATAACTCTGATAATGTATGCACTGTCCTTGAAGATGATTGGTCCACACCCGAGACAGCTTTCCTTAGAGCCTCATCTCACATGGGTTGGACCAGATGACGCCAAAAGGCACACAACTCAAAGACAATGCACCATCAGAGTATGAGAGCTCGGGGTAAGCATTTACACCATTGGAACCTCATTTGCCAGTAAAAAATATGATAATTGTTTTTTTACCCTTCTATCTGGCAACAAAACTGACACCTATTTTTACAAGGAGTCGTGTTTACATAGACCACAATACCTGCAGTCATAATGCCAGATAGAAGGGTAAAAAACCAATTATCATATTTTTACTGGCAAATGAGGTTCCAATGGTATGTTGAACTTCTTTCGCACCGTATGTGGCCAACCGTGCTAATCTGCTTTCCGTGTAGTTTGCGACTCTCTCCCCCCCGTCCCCCCCCCCCCCAGCCGTCTGTGCCGTCGATTCCCTTGCCCACCTTCAAGTCCACGTTCTACTCCTTTGCCAACGACTGTCCTGACCCCCTTTAAAAATTACACACACACACATACGATTCATAATCAACGTTTTTGGGTTTAGATCGCGTTATTTATAAATGTGTCGTAACCCTCCACCACCCGACACGGCCAATCAGTAAAAAAGTGTCACGTTGACAAAAGACAAATAGTTCACTGCTTTAGCCCCACACCGGTGTGTTGAAGCGTGAAACCACAACATTTACAATTTTTGAGTAGCACGACGTTTCGCTGGTAATTGCATCCAGCATCATCGGGCAATTCGCGAAAGCCTACGTGTTAAACACATACGAGCGCAAAGATGCCCGCCTCCCTCTTCCCCATGGTGCGTTGCATACGAGTGGTGGTCTTCGTGGTGGCAGTCGTGGTTGTTGTTGTTGTTGTTGACACCGCCACCGTTGATCCACCGATGTTCGCTCTGCCCGCGTCAGGATTCTGCTGGAGCGCAGCGGCGTGCTGCCGGAGCACATTGACGATGGCACATTGCCCGGCCATCGTGACGTCATCGTCACCCTGTGCACCTCGTGCCACCCGGAGCTCTTCTTCTCGTACCGCCGCGACGGCTCCGAGTTCGGCACCATGCTGGGCTTCATCGCGCTGCGCGAGTGACGCCTCCTTCCAGACACGTGACCGATCCCTTCCACCAACTCATCTCCCCTACCGTGCATCTACCTACTCACTATTTAACTATTTTTTATTTTGACAGGTAAGGCCCACTGAGCGATGTAGCACTTTTTTACAAAAGCGACCTGGCCACAAGTGATAGGGCGACGAAGCGGCTTATCACGTGGACATTTATAGCAGCCTAATGCTCGCGGTGATTCTAAACGTGGAGGGAAAAATCGGACGACCCGGAGAAAAATACACACTACCACGGGGGGAGAGAGACACGCAAACTCCAAATATACAGCAGCAGGCGTCGGGGTCGGGATCGAACCCACGACCTCCTGCATACCAGGCGAGGTAGTTAACATCTCCTAGCCACCGTGATGGTGATGACACAGACACGCAAACTCCAAATATACAGCAGCAGGCGTCGGGGTCGGGATCAGAATCCACGACCTCCTGCATACCAGTCGAGGTAGTTAACATCTCCTAGCCACCGTGATGGTGATGACACAGACACGCAAACTCCAAATATACAGCAGCAGGCGTCGGGGTCGGGATCGAACCCACGATCTCCTGCATACCAGGCGAGGTAGTTAACATCTCCTAGCCACCGTGATGGTGATGACACAGACACGCAAACTCCAAATATACAGCAGCAGGCGTCGGGGTTGGGATCAAACCCACGACCTCCTGCATACCAGTCGAGGTAGTTAACATCTCCTAGCCACCGTGATGGTGATGACACAGACACGCAAACTCCAAATATACAGCAGCAGGCGTCGGGGTCGGGATTGAACCCACGACCTCCTGCACACCAGGCGAGGTAGTTAACATCTCGCCACTGTGCCCACGTCGAGTTGAGCGGCGTAGTTCTTGAGCGCGCAGACGGTGGGCCGGTGGGGCCCCGTTGCCGAGGCCTTCATGAAGAGGGAGGAAATTTGAATCATGAGGGGGAGGTTAGCGGGAGGGGCGCAGTGGCAACGTCGCGGCCTGGTTCTCTGTGTTGACCGAATCGGCAATCTGGACGAAGCTTTTGGTGAACGAAAACAAACGCAGGCAATTGAGTAAAAGATAAACTGCAGATGATACTGATTATGGTGATGGGTAGATTAGGAACGTTGTTTTTGTACATTGCCTATTTAAAAACAATTGTGCTACGGACATGGTGTCGTTAGACATACGATCCATGTGAAACTCTGGCAGAGCAGTTTATATTTTAGTTTTTTTACGTGGTGGTTTGGCTGCTGCAGCTTCTTACTATTAAAATTTCCCTCCCTTTATCACTGCTAATCCTACATAATACACGAGCATAATATGACTTTGAGACCCCCCCCCCCACCACCTACACATTCCACAAGTAGTGACTAATCCCGATATCTGCATTTTCCATAAATATGCTAAATTCCTATGTTGATATGTAAATTCCTTTGTCAAGGCGCTCTTCCTCCTCTAACCCAGCTTAAATATACGCTGCCAAGCTTGGTGGTGTTCATTCAGACGCTGTCTTTCCGACAGCCCTGTTCTTCACCTGAGGACGGCTGCTTGCTTTGTGGCCGAAACGTCGTGAGAATTGTATTTTATAATGTTAGAACTTTTATTATTTTATTATTTCCCTTCAACGTGACTTTACCGGAAAGAACCAAGAAGATCTGGCAGAGCAGTCTGTTTTCACCCTGTGTTGGAGAACGGCCCGTGGAACCAGACACCACGGAACTGCTTCTGAGATTCATTCACAAGTGATCTTTGAGCCACACACAAGGAGCGACAGCTTCTGCGTTCCACGTCTACGGCACGTTACATGGCCTCGGCGTAAACGAACTTGACCCCCCCCCCCTCACCAACTTGTCATCGCGCCGATTTTAGGCGTCCGTTCTGCGGACTACTCGCGTTAAAATAACAACGGAAGGGCCAAAACACACGAATCTAACGGACACCACTCGCTGCATTCGTCAAATAGCGATGTTATTGTCTTACATGAAAAATACATTGTCGGATGTTTCAGGCAATGGACCGTTTTTGGGACACGGATCGACTTGCAGTGTGGAGATTGTGTTTTTTGCGAGCGCCTTTAGAATGAAAGATGTATTCCTCGGTAGAGCGCGATCTTGTTCATCTCTTTACCAGCACAATCGCACTAACGCGAGTTGGAAAAAAATAATCACCGCCCGGTTTAGTCATTCAAGCCACAGGGATCCGACTATGTTGTCCAAATTTGTACGACGAAATCAGTTTACGAGATTAGGGATTGAATGTGTAACCGGGATCAGAGTTGGTCAGCCTCCTCTGTTTGACCGGATTAAATCGACTCATTGTATGTACTGTATATATATAGAACTTCTTTCGCACCGTACGTAGCCAACCGTGCCATTCGGAGATGCGGACACGTAAAATAAACACCGTCTCCTACCTCGGTTGTGAGATATCGATATGATATGTTGTGAAGAAGTGCCATTGTCCAAAACGTTGCCGATTATATATATTGTTCTCTTTAAGGTCACGCAGTGTTATTGACAAATGTGTCGATGATTTTGGGGGGGGCGGGGTGGAAGGGGGTTGTAAGATGCGGTGCAGATGCAGAATTTGTTGAGGGGGGGGGCAGCCTTCTTAGGCCTTCTACTCGAGCAAGGCCACGTTATCAGGGGGGGGGCATCCCCATCACGGTGGGACGATGATGAGATGATGATCGTACCCGCAGCCATCCACCACCACCCCCCACTGCGCATTTCGCATCCGTTGTGTCTAACGGAGGCGCGGCGATGTCTAGAAGATGTTAACTCCCTCGCTTGGTGTACAAGGACGTCGTGGGTTCCATTCCGACCCTGACGCCTGCACGCCAGAGGTCGCAAACGGGTTTTGATTCCTTACCCGTACCCGGCCTACCCGAAATGAGTGACAAACGGTTACTCACCAGTGACTCACGGCCTACCTGTACCCGGCCGCACCAGGGTCGCAAAAGGCTACCCGATACCCGGCTACCCGTACCGGGTACGGGTAGCCGGGTATCGGGTAGGGTACGGGTATCGGGTACCCGGTTGCGACCTCTGCTGCACGCAGTATTTGGAGTTTGCGTGTTGCTCTCCCCGCAGTCGCGTTGACTTTTCTCCAGGTCCTTCGGGTATTTTTTTCCCCGCACCACATTCAGAAACGTATTTGGTTGCAAGATTATGAGTCTCTGTGTGTCTCCATGGGTTTAACTTATATGGTCCATAGTTTGTGTTGGATTCCGCAGTCGTGCTATTGTGGCTTGACTTTAATGTGTCTCTACGGGTCTCTATGAGTCTCTGTGTATCTGTAGTCTTTATGGGTTTACTCTGTGGTCCATAGTTTGTGTTGTATGGCCACAGTTGCCCTCCTCTGGCTTGTCTTCAATCCAAGTATAATTTGAGAGCACTTGTCGGTACCTCACACTCAACACATTCCTGCGGAGGGAGCTGGTAGGAACGTTGGGTTGCTCCGTCAATGGCCAGGGTCAACGGCGGCGTGGTGTATTCCGGGCACAAGCCGGCGTGAGTAGGTGAAACGTTGAGTTTTATAAGGACACCACGGGGTGACCAGCCCCACCCCTCCCACCCCCCACCTAGCCCCACCCTCCCCACCCAGCCCCTCCCCACCCAGCCCCTCTACACCCCATCCTCCCCACCCAGCCCCTCCCCACCCTCCCCTCTCCACCCAGCCCCACCCCTCCCATTTTTGGATGCACGACGGACGGACGGACACAATAATCCCCTGTGGGCTGGTGTAACCAGGAGGTTCCTACCAGTAATATTCTATTTTATCTGGCAAGGCCCACTGACCTCAGCGGATATTTTACAAAAAGGACCACCGCCCAAGACCCAGACTTGTAATCATCGAATTCAGGATGTTGAAGGCACGGATAAGGTCTCGGTAGCAGCTGGGATAGACTGAGTTTTGACATCATGCAGCGTTGCACAACAGGAGTATTGGTTGTGCAGTACAGTACTGTATTATGCTCTGCATCGTTTTAAACATTTGTAATTCCTGCACTGCAAAGACTACTTTGATGATTAAACAGGATCTGTGAAATTGAAATAACATGTGATGAGTTTTCAATGATGCATTACATCTTAATGTTGTTCCTGTAATAGGGATAAGTAACACATGGGCGGTACAACTCTAGCCACACGTATGTTGTATGTAACACTTGTTGAATGACACGTGTGGATGCTGTAACTGACTCGTGCACGCTATGTGTGTGTGACACGTTGACTTGCACATGTGTGTCGGGACACGTGTGTGCTGTGTGTGTGACACGTGTGTGTGTGTGACACGTTCTGTGTGTGTGACGCGTGTGTGTGTGTGTGACACGTGTGTGGGTAACACGTTCTGTGTGTGTGACACGTGCGGTCTGTGTGTGTGACACGTGTGTGTGTGACACGTGTGTGTGTGTGTGTGACACGTTGACTTGCACATGTCTGTCGGGACACGTGTGTGCTGTGTGTGTGTGACACGTGTGTGTGTGTGACACGTTCTGTGTGTGTGACACGTGCGGTCTGTGTGTGTGACACGTGCGTTCTGTGTGTGACGCGTGTGTGTGTGACACGTGCGTTCTGTGTGTGTGACGCGTGTGTGTGTGTGACACGTGCACGCTGTGTGTGTGACACGTGTGTGTGAGACGTGTGTGTGTGACACGTGTGTGTGTGACACGTGTGTGTGTGTGACACGTTGACTTGCACATGTCTGTCGGGACACGTGTGTGCTGTGTGTGTGTGTGTGACACGTGTGTGTGTGACGCGTGTGTGTGTGACACGTGCGTTCTGTGTGTGTGACACGTGTGTGTGTGACACGTGCGTTCTGTGTGTGTGACGCGTGTGTGTGTGTGACACGTGCACGCTGTGTGTGTGACACTGTGTGTGACACGTGTGTGTGTGACACGTGCGTTCTGTGTGTGTGACACGCGCTGTGTGTGTGACACGTGCACGCTGTGTGTGTGACACGTGTGTGTGTGACACGTGTGTGTGTGACACGTGTGTGTGTGTGACACGTTCTGTGTGTGTGACACGTGTGTGTGTGACACGTGCACGCTGTGTGTGTGACACGTGTGTGTGTGAGACGTGTGTGTGTGACACGTGCGTTCTGTGTGTGTGACACGTGCTGTGTGTGTGACACGTGCACGCTGTGTGTGACACGTGTGTGTGTGACACGTGTGTGTGTGACACGTTCTGTGTGTGTGACACGTGTGTGTGTGACACGTGTGTGTGTGACACGTGCGTTATGTGTGTCTGACACTTGTGTGTGTGTCACACGTGTGTGTGTGACACGTACGTTCTGTGTGTGTGACACGTGTGTGTGTGAGACGTGTGTGTGTGTGACACGTGCGTTCTGTGTGTGTGACACGTGCTGTGTGTGACACGTGCACGCTGTGTGTGTGTGACACGTGTGTGATGTGTGTGTGACACGTGCTGTATGTGACACCACCACGCTGTATGTGACACGTTCACCGTGCGTGTGAGACTCGTTTGCACGCTCTATGTGACACCCGTGCATTATTTACGACCGCTGTAACGTCTCGCAGACTCATAAAACAACAATTCCCATCCCCCCCGCATCTTCATTGTCACAGCCAACAACCGATTGCCCACCTTATCCAACCCCGAGGGTCCAGCCAATAACACACCCAACCCAAACAACTCCCTGCATTCCGATACCCCTATTAGGTCGCGTGCCTTAAATATGTCCCAACCCCAACACCCACCCTCGGTGTAGTCGGCACTTTGCCTCGTTCATCATTTCGGTTTTTTGTTTTTTTTTCAATGCTTTGCTTTATGTGCCCCCCCCCCCCCTGTTTAAATGAAAGATTTTAGGAAAGATTTCAAGCTCTGCTTTTTCTTATTGCCCCTTGCCTCTCTCTCTACCCCCTCTCTCTCTACCCCCTCTCTCTCTACCCCCTCTCTCTCTACCCCTTCTCTGCCCCCTCTCTGCCCCCCTCTCTCTCTACCCCCCTCTCTCTCTACCCCCCTCTCTGCCCCCCCCCTCTCTCTACCCCCCTCTCTGCCCCCCCTCTCTACCCCCTCTCTCTCTGCCCCCTCTCTCTCTACCCCCTCTCTCTCCCCCCCTCTCTCTCTACCCCCTCTCTCTCTACCCCCCTCTCTCTCTACCCCCTCTCTCTCTACCCCCTCTCTCTACCCCCCCTCTCTCTACCCCCCTCTCTCTCTACCCCCTCTCTGCCCCCCTCTCTCTCTAACCCCCCTCTCTGCCCCCCCCCTCTCTCTACCCCCCTCTCTGCCCCCCCTCTCTAACCCCTCTCTCTCTTTGCCCCCTCTCTCTCAACCCCCTCTCTGCCCCCCTCTCTCTCTCTACCCCCCTCTCTGCCCCCCCTCTCTATCCCCTCTCTCTCTCTCTACCCCCCTCTCTCTCTACCCCCTCTCTCTCTACCCCCCTCTCTCTACCCCCTCTCTCTCTGCCCCCCTCTCTCTCTACCCCCCTCTCTACCCCCCCTCTCTCTCTACCCCCTCTCTCTACCCCCCTCTCTCTACCCCCTCTCTCTACCCCCTCTCTACCCCCTCTCTCTCTACCCCCTCTCTCTCTACCCCTCTCTACCCCCTCTCTCTCTACCCCCCTCTCTCTCTACCCCCCTCTCTGCCCCCCTCTCTCTACCCCCCTCTCTGCCCCCCTCTCTTTCTACCCCCTCTCTCTACCCCCCCCCCCCTCTCTCTCTACCCCCTCTCTATCCCCCTCTCTCTCTACCCCCCCCTCTCTCTCTACCCCCCCTCTCTCTCTACCCCCTCTCTCTACCCCCCCCCCTCTCTCTCTACCCCCTCTCTATCCCCCCCTCTCTCTCTACCCCCTCTCTCTACCCCCCCCCCTCTCTCTCTACCCCCTCTCTACCCCCCTCCCCTCTCTCTCTACCCCCCTCTCTCTCTCTACCCCCTCTCTCTACCCCCCCCCTCTCTTCCTACTCCATGTCGCTCTCTCTCTCGCCCTTTACCCTCCTCAATCTATACTTTTTTGTTGTTTTTTCGGTAAAGTCACGTACGTAAAAAAAAATCTAATCAATTTAATCACGACGTTTCGGGCGCAACACAAGCGTCCTTCTTCAGGTGGGGAAACAACTTTGCGAAGCACCGAAAAAACCAAATGGTATGAAACCTCAATTTCTCATCTCCCTCTCATCTAATTTAGCCTCAATCTTCATTTGAAGCTTTCCTGACCGCAGGAATCCATTCTCTGTTGGTTCTTTCGGTAAAGTCACGTGGGTAGAAATAAAAGAATAGATCACGACGTTTCGATCGCAACGCAAGCAACCGTCATCAGGTGGGACAACCGCAGCAATTAAGAAAAACTGCGATCGAAACGTCGTGATCTATTCTTTTATTTCTACCCACGTGACTTTACCGAAAGAACCAACAGAGTAATTTACCCTCCTCCATCAATCTCGCCTCTCCTCTCACCTCCCTCCCCCTCCACTCTCTCTACTCTCCCGCCCCCCTCTCTCTCGCCCCCCCCTCCACTCTCTCCACCCTCTCCCTCCCCTCTCCCTCCACTCTCTCCACCCTCTCCCCCATCTCCACCCTCTCCTCCCTCTCCCTCCACCGTCTCCCTCCCCTCTCCCCACCCTCTCCCTCCCCCCTCTCGCCCCTTTCCCCACCCTCTCCACCCACTCTCTCCACCCTCTCCCTTCCCTCTCTCCACCCTCTCCCCTCTCTCCACTCTCTCCTCCCTCTCCCTCCACCCTCTCCCTCCCCTCTCCCCTCCCTCTCCCTTCCCTCTCTCCTCCCTCTCCCTTCGCTCTCTCTCCACCCTCTCCCTTCGCTCTCTCCACCCTCTCCCCTCTCCCCTTCCTCTCCACCCCTCTCCCTCCCCTCTCCCTCCCCTTTCTCCACCCTCTCCCCTCTCCCCACCCTCCCCCCTCTCTCCACTCTCTCCTCCGCCCCTGGCAGTCACTTCTGGTCGCGACTCGCTCTCAGGTAACCGACTGCGCTCACATGGCTATGCCTACTGCTGCTGCTGCTGTTGTTGTTGTGATGGTGTTGTTGTGATGGTGGTGGTGTTGCTGTAGTGTTGTTGTTGTTGTGTTTGTTGTTAATTTGCCATCGGCATCTTCATCCCCCCCCCCCCCGACCCTGCTGCTGCTGCCTCTCCCCACCACCGCTACCAGTCGTGCACGCACACACGTGCCCACTCCACTCACTCACTCTCCACTCACTATCCACTCCACTCACTCTCCACTCACTCACTCTCCACTCACTCACTCTCCACTCACTCTCCACTCTCCTCTCCACTCACTCTCCACTCCACTCACTCTGCACTCACTCTCCACTCTCTCTCCACTCACTCTCCACTCACTCACTCTCCACTCTCCTCTCCACTCACTCTCCACTCCACTCACTCTCCACTCACTCTCCACTCCACTCACTCTGCACTCACTCTCCACTCTCTCTCCACTCACTCTCCACTCACTCACTCTCCACTCACTCTCCACTCTCTCTCCACTCACTCTCCACTCTCTCTCCACTCTCCACTCTCCACTCACTCGCTCTCCACTCACTCTCCACTCACTCTCCACTCACTCACTCTCCTCTCCACTCACTCTCCTCTCAACTCACTCACCACTCACTCTCCACTCCACTCTCCACACACACGTGCCCATTGCACTCTCTCTCCACTCCACTCTCCACTCCACTCTCTCTCCACTCACTCTCCTCTCAACTCACTCTCCACTCACTCTCCTCTCAACTCACTCTCCACTCCACTCTCCACACACACGTGCCCATTGCACTCTCTCTCCACTCCACTCCACTCTCTCTCCACTCACTCTCCTCTCAACTCACTCTCCACTCCACTCTCCACACACACGTGCCCATTGCACTCCCTCTCCACTCCCTCTCCACTCTCCACTCACTCTCCACTCACTCACTCTCTCTCCACTCCACTCTCCACTCACTCTCCACTCCACTCTCCACTCACTCACTCTCTCTCCACTCCACTCTCCACTCACTCTCCACTCCACTCTCCACACACACGTGCCCATTGCACTCCCTCCTCACTCTCCACTCCACTCACTCTCGTCACACACGTGCCCATTACACTCACTC